ATCTCAAAAATGAAAATTATACACATCAAACAGTAAACCATTCTGAAAATTTTGTGGATCCTAATACTAAAGTTCATACTCTAAACATAGAGAGATTATGGAGAGAAATGCGTGCTAATCTTCACGTTTCGGTACTCGAGAATTCATTATCAACATTACATTGCTGAATTTTTATTTAAAAGACTCTACACTTTTGATAAGCGTATTCATGTTTTTTTTTTTAAATAATGGGCAGATTATATCCAATAAATAATTAATTCAACATACTTATATTTTATTTTTGAACACCCTATATATGTAAAAACTTGTGTTTATTTCACTTTATATGTGTAGTATACGTAGGACTATTTCTGTAAACTAACTTAAATATACAGTTTTTCATTGTCAGACTATGTATAAATCTTGATTTTTACAAATTTTTGTTTGTTAATAACTTTTTAATAAGCAACGAGCGACGATTAAATTAGAAGAAAATTGACCTTGACATATGTTGTGAAGATCACTGTAGTGAGTATCTTCCATGTGTAGCTTAGAATCGTATGTACTACCAATGTCTTGCGTTGTTTACGTTTTTTGAACATAAACACAAAATTCTCAATGCTCTTACTATTAGTAATTGTGGAGTAGACTTCGCTTCGCGTTGTAAAGTATATGCGTGGACGCAACTTTGGTCCACGCAACGATAACTTTGGCCCCTTATTTGAAAGGTCGTTTCTGAAGACATTTTTGACGAGGAACACGGGAAAAATAGTAAAAAAAATTTCCGACCAATAATTTTCGAGATGTATCACTTTAAAGTATTGGACATGATAATAAAACGTTACAAAACGGACCCAATGACCTTGACCTTGACATATGTTGTGAAGATCACTGTAGCGAGTATCTTCCATGTGTAGCTTAGAATCGTATGTACTACCAATGTCTTGCGTTGTTTACGTTTTTTGAACATAAACACAAAATTCTCATTGCTCTTACTATTAGTAATTGTGGAGTAGACTTCGCTTCGCGTTGTAAAGTATATGCGTGGACGCAACTTTGGTCCACGCAACGATAACTTTGGCCCCTTATTTGAAAGGTCGTTTCTGAAGACATTTTTGACGAGGAACACGGGAAAAATAGTAAAAAAAATTTCCGACCAATAATTTTCGAGATGTATCACTTTAAAGTATTGGACATGATAATAAAGCTTTATAAAAATGGATACGGATACAGTAGTACATACGATTCTAAGCTACACATGGAAGATTACTCAGAATTATGTCCTTGTAACATATGTCAAGGTCAAGGTCATTGGGGCTGGGCCCCTATTCGCTATATTTACCCTTTAAAGTGATATATCTCGAAAACTATTGGTCGGAAATTTTTTTTACTATTTTTCCCGTGTTCCTCGTGAAAAATGTTTTCAGAAACGACCTTTCAAATAGGGGGCTGTAATTATCGTAATCACGCCAGTAGGACATGTCCGAACTTTATTGCGCAAACCGAACTTTTTTCAAAAAATTCTTTATCTGATCAAAATATTTCCAACGCACAACCAAGTTATTTTTCTACATAGTTTTTACTAATAATTAAGCATTTTTGTCACAGGATTGGCAGTTTTTTAATTTCCATATCATAAAAAGTAGTACGTGTCCGAAGCTGATCGCGCACGAATTTTTACATCTCTTCATTATTGTCTAACCGCTGTCCTTCCAACGCCTCTTTTAGTGGTCCAAACAAATGGCAATCACACGGGGATAAATCAGGATTGTAAGGGGGATGTTCAATGGTGGTCTAGTGCAGTTGAACCAATTTCTTTGGTTATGGGGGCGGTGTGAGGCTTAGCATTGTCGTGCAGAAGCAAGATTTTTTTTTCGTGCACAATTGACTTCGGATACGTCTCACTACTTTGTATGACACGGGAATAAGAAAACTGCCAACCTGGTGGCAAAACTGCTTAGATGTTAGTGGAAACTATGTAGAAAAATGACTTGGGTGTACATAGGAAATATTTTGATCGAATAAAAGTTCTGGAAGTTTGGTTTATATTTGATTACCTCTCGTAGCACAAACGCTCATTTTTATGCAATTATAAAACATGATCAAACTATATTTAATTATCGATAATAGAATATATATTGCAACTGCAACATATTATTATTAAAGTTTTCTTACATTATTATATATTATTATATATATTACAAAGCAAATTATTATTTTGATCCGCGTAAAAAATAATGATTTTCTTATGCAATATTTTCAATAAATTGATTCATCGAAGTTCACAGCGTTGATAACCACAAAATGTACTGCTGACTTTATCATCAAAATTTTTTCTTCCACAACATTCTTTAGTTTGTACATAATAAAGTACAACATGTTTTGGATTAACACTCATCATGTAAGTTAATTGTTTACCAACTCATATAAATCAATATTTCTAATAAATATATATATATATATATATATATATATATATATATATATATATATATATATATATATATATATATATATATATATATATATATATATATATATATATATATATATATATATATATATATATATATATATATATATATATATATATATATATATATATATATATATATATATATATATATATATATATATTTATTAGAAATATTGATTTATATGAGTTGGTAAACAATTAACTTACATGATGAGTGTTAATCCAAAACATGTTGTACTTTATTATGTGGAAATTATAGACTATTGCGGTAGAGAAAACTTTGAGGATAAAATCAACAGTGCATTTTGTAGTTATAAGCGCTGTAAGCTTCAATCAATTTATTGAAAATGTTGCATAACAAAATCATTTTTCTTTACACAGATCAAAATGATAATCTGCTTTGTATAATAATATATAATAACGTAATAATAAAACTTTAATAATTATGTGTTGCAGTTGAAATATATTCTACTATCAATAATTAAATATAATTTGATCATGTTTTGTAATTGCATAAAAGTGAGCGTTTTCTATGATAGGCAGTCAAATATAAACCGAACTTTTTGCAATACTTTTTATTTGATCAAAGTAATCCAATAAATTTTTATATACTAATATATAATAGTATATACATATACTATTATATACGTACATATGACAACCTTTTCCAACTTTTCCGAAACAGCTTTAAATATTGTTGTAATGGTAGGTGAGAAATTTGTTGGAGCAATTACAGTATATCTGTAATGAGCTAAAAGATGAAAACGAACTTGCTATCTTTAAAAAGTATGGAAATTACACAAGATGTTGTACAGTCATATTTACATGTAAGACAGTATTTTTTACCAATTACTATATGTCATGAAGTTGAGCATATTCCAATCGTGAGAAAAATTAAATATTTAAATTAGAATGATTAACTAATTTAGGATTCTTAGTTTAAATATATTTATTACGTTTTTCCACCAGAATAAAAAATTATAAAACTCTTACATAGTAAAAAGCATGTTTAGATATATATGTATATATATTTTTAATATATACATAATGTGTTTACTCTTAAATTTTATTATCGTATTAAAAATACACAAATTTTATTTAGTCAAGAAAAAAATCAGAGCAGAGGAATGATTAAAGAATAGCAAAATTTGTAGAGAAAAAGAGAATTATGCATAAGTAATATAACATTATAAAACACGAAAAAAGCAACTTGTATATAACTATTTCTTTTAAATGTTTTAGCATTCGCAATATGCAGTGCATTTATTGCTACTTTACTACCTATTTGGCCACAGATCCTTGGTACTGTCTTGTACATAAACGAGTCTCAACTACAGAGTCAGACAATACAAATCGTGACTGAATACTTTGTCGATCAACAAAAATATATCTATTTAATTATACTGCATACAAACGCAGTTATTTATATTGGGGCGATTACAATAACAGCGACAGGAACAATGATCTTAGGATGCGTCATACACACCTGTGGATTGTTTACTATTGCAAAGTAAATAATGAATTTAGGATAGAATATGGAAGATTTGTGTGCAAACACAATTTTTGTTTGTTTGATTGTTTTAATTTATCATACAAATTTGAGAGAACTACGTATTTATAGCAGATAAATTAATCACAGTTATCGTATAGAACAAGCAATGAGAACCAAAATACTCGAAAATATTAACCTGAATAATCGGAATATGATCTGTAAAAAAATATTTTATGCGATCGAAATCCATCGCAAAGCTATGAAGTTGGTATACATGCAATAACAATTATATAGAACTTGGATAAAACTGCATAAAAAATAACACACCTTCAGTTTAATCGCCACCTATGTATATTGTAGGGGAGGTTTTTCTGAGTAATTCCCCATAAGAAATAAGTGGGGGACGGCATTGGTTTAGGAGAAATAACAAATTGAAGTTTCACAATTTTAATGCTTTTTCTCAGGTATTATAAAGTAATATTAGGAAAAGTAAAGTTTGTGTACGTTGTATTTGTTGTAGAGCAGACAAAAAATAAACCAAATCTATTTCTGATTTAAAATTAAGATTTACTATTAACTTATTCGTATCTTTAACAATACTTAGAAATTCATATAGTCGTATGTTAAAAGTTTTTAACGAACTGCGAGAAATAGATGAAACATATTATTGACAAAGTATCCATGAGTGTATACCTATCCCGTAAATGTAAACAAACACTTTTTCCACGTCTGCTCTACATAAATACAACGTAAACAAACTTCATTTTTCCTTATTTTATAATAGAAAAAGCATTAAAACTATGAAACTACGTCTGCTCTACATAAATACAACGTAAACAAACTTCATTTTTCCTTATTTTTTATAATAAAAAAAACATTAAAATTATGAAATTTTAATTTGTAAAATCTCTTAAACTATTGTCGTCCCCCACAAATTTCTTGCGGGGAATTACTCAGAAGAACTTCCCCTACAACATATTTAAGTGGCAATAAAGTCGGAGGTGTGTTACCTTTTATGCAGTTTTACCAGAACTTGTAATAACATTTTATTTTTCTTAAAGATTCATCAACTTTATGTTATCTAGTTTTGAAGGCTCGTTTTTGCTGTTAATAGCGATATGTGTAATTTCTCTAAGCCTGAATATATTTGCGGTAAGAATTTTTCTTCGTGTTCTAGAAACATACTTTTAAAAGGAATATGCGTGTATCTAATAATAATCAAAATTTAATTAATTTATAAATTTAAAAATATTATAAACAAAGTAAAAATCGTGCAAATTAAAAACTTGCACATTGCTTCCTCATCATTTTATTTCGCTCACAAAGTTCCACATCAGAGTAATCGAATTTTCAATTTTGGCTTGTATAGAGGAAGCTTTATGAACGAAATAAAAATATTATTCATGTAAAAAAATTTAGCCCAATAACTCAACTAACTTTGCGGAAGTTAGAACGTGCACAGACATTTTTCAAAACAAGCTGAATTGTGCAAATTAGAAACTTGCACATTGCTTCCTCATCATTTTATCTCACAAAGTTTAAGCTCCTTTAAGCATGCGGATTTTTCAATTTTTGCTTCCTCATAGAGGAAGCTTTGTGAGCGAAATAAAAAGATAAAGATAGATAGTCCCTTAGAAAATTTTGACAATTAGAAAGAAAATTGATAGAAAGTCAGCTCGATAGCATTCCAAGTGGGATTTTAAAATCGGCTCGATTTAAACCTGATGTTAACTTTAGAAATTCATTAGCAATTTGCGAAAGTTACAACGTGTACAGACATTTCTTAAAAAATTCAAAATTTTATAAAGAATAAACCCTTTCACCGATTTTCACCAAATTCAATACCAACCATCCTTTAATAATAATCTATCCATGTAAAAAAATTTAACCCGATATTTCAAAATTTGCGAAAGTTATAACGTGTACAGACATTTCTTAAAAAATTCAAAATTTTATAGAAAATGAATCCTTACACCGATTCTCACCAAATTCAATACCAACCATCCTTTAATAATATTCTATCCATGTAAAAAAATTTAACTAGATATCTCAAAAATTGCGAAAGTTAGCGGTTGCACAACAAATCGCGTACATACATACATACATACATACAGACATTTTAAAAAAATGTTTTTTCGACGTTTTAGAACATTCTGAACATATTGGCATAAAAAACTCGAAAAAAAATTTTGTCACGAAAACAAAGCTTCTTCTATGAGGAAGCAAAATTCAAAATTTCATAAAAAATAAACATTTTTACCAATTCTCGTCAAATTCAATACCAACCATCCTTTAATGATACTCTATTCATGTAAAGTTATAGCATGCACAGAGATTTCTCAAAAAAATCAAAATTTTATAAAAAATAGACTCTTTCACCCATCCTCGCCAAAGTCGATACCAACCATTCTTTAATGATACTCTATTCATTTTAAAAAATTTAGCCTAATATCTCAAAATTTGCGAAAGTTAGAGTGCACAGACAATCCGTACATACATACATACATACATACATACGGACATTTTTTTTAAATGTGATTTTTCGACGTTTTAAAACATTCTGAACATATTTGGCAAAGAAAACCAAAAAAAAAATTTGTCACGAAAACAAAGTTTCCTCTATGAGGAAGCAACAGATCAAATATAAATTTAATTGATAATATTTAATTGATATATCATATCAATTGACATATCAATTCGCGCTAATTTAAAATCATGAAATTTAAAAAAAAACAGAGAAATCTCAATATAATGACTGTTTTTTTGTACTTCTCATCTATAACTTTTTTACAGCATAATTATAATTATAATCAGTAATTATTGTACATACGTAATATTATATATTAATCACAATCATAATTTTAGATCTTTTGTAATGCATCGCTTGGAAATAAAGAAGCATTTATATTACATCTGTTATTTGTACTTGTCATCTTTTTATATATGTTTATAGCTAATTATGCTGGGCAAGAAATTTTAAATTACGGTACTCATATATACTCCACCGCGTAAGGAACAATTTGTTGTTGGCAATTGCATATACTTATGTACATATATTAATATATAGATACATATCTTCTTCATTAGTAATTTATCATTATTTATTATATTATTTCATAGGTACAATGTTCGATGGTATAATGCACCATTACACGTACAGAAGATGATATTGTTGATTTTACAAAGGGGCAGTAAAACTTTCGGCCTAAATGTTGCCGGACTATTTGCAATATCATTAGAATGTTTTGCCATGGTAAAAATTATCGTATGTCATAAATTGCGATTTTTACAGCTAGTTTAGCATATTTCATAGTACAATGTAAGAGACGTATGCATTTCATTATTACAGTTAACGAAAGCGTCGACGTCTTATTTCACCGTCATATATACTATGCAGCAATGATGTAAAAATTCATTATTTAATAAAAATCGACCATAAAATATTATATTTCCCACATTTGAAACTGTAAAATGTTATTTCAATAAAGTTTGCATAAATTAAATAACACCAGATAACAGCATTTTGTTTCCTGACTGTTGCACTGTTTAAATAATTAAGGAATCACAAATTCACAATTATTTTTTTTAGATAATAGATATCTATTTAATTTTTCTATTATGAAAAACATATACACATCATGTGAAATGTGTGTTGAAAAAGTATGAAACAAAACGAATGACATCTATTACTCTAAAATTAATGTTACAAATGTATACAGAATTGACGTGTATATTTTTGAACGAGTACGATGATATCATAATTTTTCATCAATATCAATAAGTGATATATCATAAGAGATCTAATAAACAAAAATGTAAATATAATATAAAATAATATAAAAACATGCATGTGTTTCAATTAAGAGAAACAATTATTGAGTATCGCTTGTTACAAGTGTAGAAAGTTTTGAATAAAGATTCACGGTACCTTGTATATTTTGGCCGGCGACAGTTTTATAGCTTTGCCAAGACACGTCAGGCGGATCGACTCTGTGTTCCTGTAGAAGGACAAACTTCTTCCACGAGCGCACATACAAGACTGAGGCGTATGAAACCGAGTTATTTGAAAAAAGAGCGATTGCGCTTGCGCCGGCTTCGATCGAAGAATAGCCACTCTGTGAGTGTTTGGTTGTGTGAGGTAACACCTGTTAATTTTCTTTCGGTGTAAAATCGATTGTCTACTTATCTCTTTTCAAGCGAATGTTGAACTGTACGAGTGTTTCGATAAGTGTTCTCGTGATAATGTTTTGTGCGGCATTGCGTTTTGCATTTATACAAAATTGTGTGTGTTAAATGTATTGTAATTATAAGTTTAAAAATTTTAGTAGATAGAGATTTATTATAGAAAAGTAATTTATTATATCGGTAATTATTCAGTTTAGCGTCCTCACCTCAAATATCGATGAAATTATGCTCATTCGATGCGTTTTTGCATAAAACGAAAGAATATAGCAGAAAAAAGCGTCGCTCTGCCCCGCGAAGCAAGATATTAATAGTTAAAGTTAACGATTATTTAGGTTACAAAACGTGTATGGAGTATGTCGGGGACTTCAATCACATAATCCCGCGGATTAGTTAATTAATATTCCAAGATTACATACAATTGCACTGGATTACTAGATCCGGCACTCCCGATACTCGTTCGTATACGAAATTCGTCCGATAAAAAACGCGGAAACGCGAGACGAACGTGACTGCACACTCGATGACGACATGCGACGTGAAGTAAGAAGCAGCGCTTACGAAATTCGGTCACGTGATAACGTCCAAATTCGCGCACGTTTGAAAATTTTGCACAGTAACACGATTATATTAATAAAAGTATTAATATTGCGAATTATGATGCTGTTATTGTAAAATAATCTATAATAAAAGTGCATTTCATTTATTAACTATTATTTATTATTTATTTATTTATTAAGGATATTTATTAAGGATTTTATTATTTATTAACAATTTGTGTATTTCGAATATTATATGTGTACTACATATATACATAGAGTACAGAACTCATAATATTTATAATTAAATGTTAATAAATAACGTGCTTAATAAATAATGCAAAAAATAACGTAATATTGTATAATAATTCATGCGATTATGATTAAAACGTCTCTCGGTATAGAAGAATCATCAGCAGATAAAATTTTCATCTAAAGGCAAAATGAAACAACATAATCTCATATATTTTTCTCATGATTAAAATTTACATTTTAAAACAGCGAAAATCTCTTAAACAATGAGAATTTTGTCAAAGTAAAATGTCATGCTGTTATTACAAAATCAGCAATATTACAAGGAAGAAACCTGTTACATTATAATACGCGATAGTAAACTAATATTTTTATATAATATCATCTTTCCGTATAATCCGATCATGCAACCCACCATACAACCCACGCACTGTACAAAAGCTTAAATTCGCATATTACATTATATAAATTATATCACATATTACATTATATAAATTATATTATATTACATTATATAAAATATATTATTATTTAATAAGACACTTGAATGCATTCACGACATTTTTCTCTCAGTCAATCTTTGATCAAGACATCTTTTATTATACTACTACAGGCATACAAGTTATTTAAATTAACAATTTATTTAGATATAATGATAATTAGATATTGTAACACAATATTGAACTATTTGGCTTACGCTTTGAAATTAAAAACTGATATTACATGTCATCAATACAAATTCATTTATATTGTTCGACAAATCGAACAGTTTTCTTTATCAAATCAATCATGTATGATTTATTGTAGATAAAGAATATCAACATATTATTCATTGTTATTAAAATATTGATATAACGTTGTTTTAGAATATTTTATAGTTTAACG